TTTTTGGCGCACGTGCGACGATCGTCGATACGTGAGAGCTTTTCGACAATTCGTAACATAAGTTGGTCGGCATCATGATGTCCAGTGCAAGAAAGGATCATAGACAGGCATCTACATGTGCACACAGCAACAAGTCACATGTGTACAACACGTGCGGCACTGTCCTTACGCAATCACAAACTACTTAGGTACTGGAGTACACACCTAGGGCGCCCGTCAGCCATTCCCCACGCCACGTCAGCTGTGCCGCACAAACAAAGAAATGACTGTGACAAAATGCCGACGCACGTTACATACACACACACACACACACTCACACACACCCACACCCACACCCACCCACACACACACACACAAATACGAACATGCCGCAGGAACGCAGCTCTCTATGCCTTCAGCTGCCGCCACTAGAGAGAAGAGTGGTGTCTGGGCTCACGCTGTGTCGCACGTTGGGGCGCGACACCACCAGCAGCATCTTCAGTGTCCACGTTTGACACGACCTCCCTAGGCGTGTGAGTCGCTGACAACCAACACACACACACGCACACACGAATGTCCGTGTCAGCTCAGTGCATAGCTAGGCTGCGTACTTGGTGGCGGCGGCAGCACCACTCGTCGGAATACAACTGGGTTGTCCTCTGTTTTCCCTCTGCACACACAAACAAGGCACAGACACAGCGTGCTCATGTCCACACCCAGAAAGACGCCCTTACGTGTCGCCGATCGGCGTGTCGTCAGCAGCACGCTCCCAGCCGATGACGACCACAGTTTCCGGGTCACCCAAATTCGCCAGGACCTTCTTGTAATCCCCGACAGTGTTGAAGGGCTGCTCTGGGTTGGTCGCATGGGTCTTGACGACGGCCCCCTCCCCCGTCCTCCCCTCCATTCTCAAGTAGCGATAGTCCGACTCATCGATGCGACGTTTCACAAAATATTCAGGCGCCACATACGGCAGCATGTCCATCACTGATTTCCCTTTCGGCACCACCATCGTCCTCGGTCGGTCCGCCATTTCGACAGGCATTTGGCACCAAGTCGGAGAGAACGACAATCCTGGTGGACAACAGAGGAGCACAGTCAGTCTCCTACAACGCACAGATGTCTGATAGGACCAAGGCCATCCGTGTCAGGTATCACCTGGTGCGTGAGAAGGTCGAGGCGGGCGAGGTGGAGGTTGGTTGGATCCCATCCGCTGAGAACGTGGCAGATATGCTCACCATGAACGTGCCTGCAGGCAAGCACACACCAGTGACAGAGAAGCTGTTCAGCAATCCGTCACACGCCACGCAAGATTTCCTCTTACCGAGGGGCACAAGGATGGATGTGGTGGGGGGAGGCGGCAGATCTGATGTAGATCTGGCAGATGGATTGGCCTCGGAGAAGAGATGTTTCTTTCTGAGCTCGCAAGATCGGCAGTTTTGTCTCGAGTGAGGTGTCAGAAGTGCAAGTCGGTCCAGGGTTTAGGGCCTAGGGTTCATAGACCGACGATCCACTGATCTGTGAGACAGGACGGCTGTTGAGTCTTTGTCCGTTCCATGAGACAGGCCATGGCGGACAGGACGTCAGACAGGATGGACTGACGCATACTACA